ATTGATCAGTTTGTCTGACGATCGCAAAAGCGTGAAATACGGGGTCACAAACTCATATCAACCCAAACAAATATGTTAGCTCTTTCTCTGATATTGAGCGCTTTCTAATAGGTACTGCGCATATAATATATAAATAATAATATATATATAATATATTACACACGCACGGACACACACACGCACACACACACACACACACACACACACACACACACACATATATATATATATTTATTTATTAACAATTATCCAATTGTTATCTATCTATCTATATATGTAAACATATATAGAGAGATGAAAAAACTTTTTATATATATATATATATATATATATATATATATATATATATATATATATATATATATATATATATCTTCTTCATCCCCAGCTATGGGTTAATAACAGGACAGACCGGGTTCTATAGCCCTGGATGGAAACTGGTCTAGAAGAAGGACAACTCTGAATGCATTGCATGCGGTGGGTCGTTTGGGGACCTTCTGGCACGTCTCCATATTCAGCTCTTAAAAAAAGTGGGGTTGATTCTGCACAAATCCTTCACCACTATCATCAAATCATATGTGCTGGTGTCTGGGCTGTCGGTTCTTCGGAACTGAGCTGCTTGACACTAATACGTCGAAAACGGGAGAGTCCATTATTTTATATTCCTCAATGTAACGAACCACTAAAACCATTATTATTCAATATAATTAAAACGCATTCAATAAAATATAAACCCATTTTCTTTAAAATATGCCCACAAAATCTCATCTGTCTCTTCTTGATGTTAACTAAAATGTCCTTTTTGTTATTGTTTCTAGAACTTTCGTTGCTCACATGTTCGGTTTAGGGTATTGTCACAATCTTTCTGTAGAACAAAATTTCTGTTGGTTGATGTCTTTTCTTTAGTGCTGAGGAGATTGTCCTTCATTCACGGCCAGATATGATAACTGATATTACATAACAGTTCAGTGCTCTTTTCTTTGTAACAAATGGCAAGTTATTTTATCGTATGTATTTAATTATATAACCACACGCGAGGGATAGTTTATTTATTTATTCTACTTGTCACTGTGCATTGCACAGTGAAATTGGACAGCAGTCCTCAGGTGCAACATAATACATAGACATACAAAAAAAAAAAAAGAAAAAAAAACACGCTCGCAGCACCAATCAAAAAGAAACACACGCACAAGTTCGATTGAATGAAGTAATTTAAAATACGCTGAAAAATTGACAGCGTTCATTCCATACAGAGTCTAAAGGTAAAAGCTGTATCTCAAACGTTTTGTCCCCAGAACTAATTGAACAGTTCAAACGAATGGTACTCGGCCCGCCTGCTCTTTCGTTTTCTGCTCTGCTAGACTGGAAATTGTGAAGAGCGATGATCGCATACGTCCTCAGGGTACACGGTACATTAAAGAAGAGGTTAACAAGGACAGCTAGTAACCAATGAGAAAAAACCTAAACATCTATTGTTTCCAGTTCAAGGACACGTGGCACAGTGGATAAAGGCGTTAGTTAGATCCAGTGACAGGACCCAAAGTGTGTGAGTTCAATATCTGGATAAGGCGCTGGAGAATGTGGAGAGGGGAATTAACAGGAGATAACTGACATCCATTAGACATGGCACGTAGAACTAGAACAGTCTACCCCAGTGAGCGAAATAAAGGGTTCAGTTCAATATTCCAACCACTTGAAGAAGGCCGGAGCGTACAACGGTCGAAACATTGTGATAAACATGGCGACAAAGATGAGGACAATAGTTTATTGAAATAATAAATAATTGAAATAATAAAATAATATGTCCGGGAAAGGGATATATTTGAACGAAGTAGCTAAGTGGTTTTGGCTACTATAACCAAGTAGAATACGGTAGCAGTAAGCGACTGGTACGCGTCGTAGTCGCAGGTAAGAAGTGTAGATCAATGGCGTAGTCCAATGGGCGTCGTTATAGACTTAGCTCTCAGACTAAGGCTCTTGACTCTCCTACACGTCCGTCGGTATTTATGACGGACACCAGCCAATCATATTCTAGTGAGGGGGAACGCAGGTGTATGCATATTCCATTATATCATAAAAGAAAATGGTGAATATGCTTAAAGATCTGGGGGCCTATTTAAAGTAGAGCAACGTCTACTGATACAGTTGTTTTAAAATGCTTAATTACTTTGGTGTTAGGTCGGGTCACTGTTTTACAGCTGTAATGACTTCTATTTCTTTTAATATAATCCTCACTTTCCAGCCAAGACTGAGTTCAAAATTGTTTGGGTGATGAATTGCTCTCGAAACCTTTTTTTAATAACAGACGAAATGTTGCTAGTCTTTTGCTATCCCCCCCTCTAATTTGATGGCAGATGTTCAGAGCTATCTACATTCTTACCTCCATATAGAGCCTTACAATATCCCAGTCAGTAGCACTCTACCTTGAATGTCACTTAGGCCTTGCATTGGGTGAATAAATGCAAAAATTTTAAAAATGTCATATATATCATCGTAGCCATTGGCATATATCTAAGACAATGCTGCTAGCAATTCACGTGGAGGTCAGGACTTGTAATTATATATCTGTTCTGTCGACAGCTGAAGGAATTCTCAAGGGACACATTGATATGATTATGTTCAATGTCTAAGCTGAGAAAGTGACATAAGAAACATTATAAACAGAGAGACATAAAGATATAAATTAGTACAATTTGGGGGCGCGGTAGTGTAATGGATCGCGGCTCGGATTGAGAAATCGGAGAGCTGAGTTCGAATTCCAGTCGGATCCATAGCGTTCACTTACGTGCTAATACCCTTGGAAAAGTTATGAATCCAACTGTTTTCCCCCGGCTATGGGTAAATAGTAGAACAGACTCCGCTCAATAGCTTCTAGGAGAAGGAAAACTCTGAATTCAGAACTGTATACACGTCTTGGCGAAGCACGTACTATGCAGCTAAGGAAAGGATTGTTCATATTGACTCGATGATTACATTTACTGTAAATGTTTAGAATGTATGGCTGGCCGCTATCGGAGTATGTCTATCTGCAAGGGATGTCAGCTAATCCCTGCCGTAAACGCTTTCTCAGTGACAATTTGTTCACCACTCACGGAGCTAAAGATCTTGTTCATGCTGAGCAGACACTAGTTACATTTTTTGGCAGAGAGCACATAATCTGTCATGATTATGAACGGGGCCAAGATGATCAAGCTCTTCGTGATAGGATAACCATCGACGGCTTACCAACAGTTTCGTGTACCCATTTTCCGTCGTAAGGCGTGGGTCAACACACTGATATGGTTTTTAGGTTCTTCTTAATAGTCTTACTCTCGATGACCGTCTCCCTAGAAATATATCATTAAGCACTCGACTCCTTGGCAAAATGACATTTTTGAGATTCGAACCCGTGTGGCATAGATTTCAAAATACTTGGCCCACCGTCTCTCTCAATCGCTCTTTCTATTTTTATTGCAAGGTTTTAGAATAGAGGAGGAAAGTGCAAGACAATGCCCTTAAATGGACCCAGAAATAGCGTTGTCATACAAAAATATCTGTAATCCATCTCCCTCACCTCGCATTTTTTCATCATAGATTTATATATATATTAGCATCATTAAATTTTTATGTCACGGGGTGCGTTTTGTAGGTATCCCTAGGTAGAATGTGGTATTATGGTGTATGGAGGATTGATTGGTGACGTGCGAGTTCTTCAGAGTCTGTCTATATTTCTGAGATGACGTATTATGTACATTATTTCCATTATTCAGACTATTGACCTCATCTTTTCGCCATATCAAACGTTGTGATAAATATGGCGACAAAGATGAGGACAATAGTCCGAATAATGTAAATAATGGATGAGTTCTTGTGGTGAATGTGGAAATTGTAATGTATGGATGGGTGGTGAATCGGATTAGCTAGGTATAGGATAGTTAGTGTGGACCAGCCTCAACCCCTCCCCACTTTTTTCGGCCTTTGTGCCACAATTGTAATTTTTAATGCAATAAATACACAAAAATATCTGCAATGAAAAGTTAAGTTAGTGATATTTAGAAGATCCATGCATATACAGAGTGCGATGGATAAATTGTCGTCTTAGTTACGCAAAATTGAAAATAATACTAACATCTCATTTGTAGCAGATATATTTACCAAAATTATGGCTTAAAGTGGCTTTTGCATGGTCCCATATACAGAGAGAGATGGGTAAATTGTCGTCATCTTATATTGTCAATTTCGCGCATGCGCGTAGTTTTTCATTTTGTCGACTGCACAGGATAGTACTTTCAGTTGGGCATCGTCTGTGAGAAAAAAGAGCACCGTAACGCAATTCACTCTGCCAGAGATTTGGAAACGGCATGCTGTACTGCTTGGCATTCGGGCTGGAACCTCCAATACCAACATTTCTGAGTGTTTCAGTATTAAAATGAGGACAGTATAGAAGATTTGTTGGTGAGGACTTCAAACTCAACACTGAGGCCCATATCAAGTGCCTTGAACAAGTAGTGCTGCCCTGGGTCAAGAAGGTAGCTGTTGGAAGTTTCTATATCTGGCGACAGGACTCTGTACCATGCCACACAAACAGGAAAAAATGGCTGTCAGACAAGTTATGCGACAAGATTATCCCTTACATCGAGTCTCCCCAGACTGCAACCACCTTGATTATGTGTGGGGCGCAGAGACCAACAAAACGCCTTGTAACACCAAAGAGCAACTGAAAGCATGAATTATGGTTGTATTCACCATCTTAAACAAGGGAACTGTCCAGAAGATTTGCAGGAAATTCTGAAGTCGTCTGGAGGCCGTGGCTGAAACCAATGGCGATTTTATTGAATGAATTTAATGTTTAGTATTTCAAGATATTGTTGTGTAATTTTGGTAAATATATCTGTTAAAATGGGACGTCAGTGTTATTTCCTTTTTTGCGGAACTTAGACGACAATTTATCCATCGCATCCTGTATACGGGTGGATCTTCTTGAAACTAATGCAACTATTTTATGCTAGCCCACAAAGCTGATGCTGGTATGAGGGTAGAAATAAAACCCGTTACTCATCATTTTTTATTAGCGTTGTTAAATGATATTTGTTGAACGGTGATATTGGAAAAAAAAGACGCCTGACATGTACGTAAAAATAAATGTTTTTCATTGAATACCTCAACGCGGAAAAAAAATCTTACGCATTGCTGAGTTTTTAGAATGAATGTAAGCACAGTTCGGTTGTGTTTAATGGCTTTCATTAGTGCTGCAAGAAAAATTATGGGCGGGCCTGAACAGCTGTCAGCCCACGAAATGTTACTTAATCGATATTTTAAATGCAGGTAATATTAATTAGGTAGCGTTTGAAAAGACATTCGGCACCGAAATCCTCACAATCATTAGAATAGCGAAAGATACCTTCCAGAAGCTAAGAAAAGTATTAAGAAACAGGAAAGTTTCGTTAGAAACAAAGAAAATTGGTTTGGTTTGGTTTGGTTTGATTTGTTTTACGGTATATGAACCTAAATGGGTTATTTAATGTTGAGAAAATTTTTATTGCTGCTAATATTTTTTTTTTCAAAAATGTATTGCTGGTAATATCTTTTTTTTCCAAAAATGTATTGCTGGTAATAGTTTTTTTGAAAAATGTATTGCTGGTAATATTTTTTTTTCAAAAATGTATTACTGCTAATATTTTTTTTCAAAAATGTATTGCTGGCATTTTTTTATTCAAAAATATATTTCTAGTAATAATGTATTGCTGCTAATAATTTTTTCTTCAACAAATTTATTGCTGTTAATAGTTTTGTTTGACGGCATGGGTTATTTAATCCCGACAAAGATTAATATTGATAAAAAAAATAATATTTTTTCCAAAAATGTATTGCTGGTAATAGTTTTTTCTACAAAAATTTATTGCTGGTGATAATGTTTTTTTACCAAAAAGTGTTTCTGGTATTAAAACCTATTTTTGCACTTTGTGTTTTGACCCCAATTTGGGGGTTAACTATATGCCCATAGCCGGGACCCTAACATGTGCTACCCGTCCTGGATATGACGATAAACTGCATCTGCGTCCTGGGTAAGACGATAAACTACGTTCAACAGCAAGGCCTGTGCTCAGGAGGTTTGAGGAGCGTGGGACCACCTTTTAATTGCTGGTGTTCCCAAGTCCACCCTGACCCGGGGTGGTAGCATCTGTTTGAAAAGAGTTAACCCCCAAAATGGGGTCAAAACACTATAAAAGTTTAAAAATAGTTTTTAATACCAGAAATACTTTGTAAAAAAAGTTATTACCAGCAATAAGTTTTGAAGAAAAAATTATTACCAGCAAGGCATTTTTGAAAAAAGATATTACCAGCTATACTTTTTTTTTAAATTACAAGTGCTTTTTGATGAAACCAGAAATTGATTTTTGAAAGAAAAAAATTACCAGCAATACATTTGAAAGAAAAAAATATATATTACCAGCAATAAAAATCTTGGTGGCATTAAATAACCCATTGAGATTGATATGCCGTAAAACAAACCAAACCAAACCAAACCAAAGTAACATGTGCTACGAACTCTGATCAGAGTTAGGCAAGAGGCCAATCAACGGAGCACATATTGAGAATTTATCTCAATAGATACGATTATTAAACTGAGGAATAGACTTTCTTTCTTTCTTTCGTTCTTTCTTTCTTTCTTTCTTTCTTTCTTTCTTTCTTTCTTTCTTAGTCCATTCTTTTTACTTCTTTCTTGATTGCTTATCTATCTATCTATCTATCTATCTATCTATCTATCTATCTATCTATATTTCTTTCTTGCTTGCTTTCTTTCATTCTCATTCAGTTCTTGTTTGCTTTATCAGTTTCGTTCTTTCTCAGTTGCTTTTCTTTCTTTCTTTTTTCCTTCCTTCCTTCCTTCCTTTCTTCCTTCCTTTCTTCCTTCCTTCCTTCTTTCTTTCTATCTTTCTTTCTTTCTTTCTTTCCATTCTTTTTTCAGTCCATTCTTTTACTTGATTGCTTATCTATCTATCTATCTATCTATCTATCTATCTATCTATCTATCTATCTATCTATCTATATTTCTTTCTTTTCTTTCTTTCTTTCATTTTCTTTTTTTCATCTTTCTTTCTTTCCATTTTCTTTTTTTCTTTTTTTCTTTTCTTTCTTTTTTCTTTCGCGGTTTATTTCTTTGAGATTGCTTATTCTATCTATCTATCTATCTATCTATCTATCTATCTATTATCTATATTTTCTTTTTTCTTTTTTTTTCTTTCTTCATTCTCATTCCGTTCTTGTTTTCTTTTGTTTCATCAGTCATCTTTTCTTTCTCAGTTTTTCTTTTCTTTCTTTCTTTTTTTTTTCTTTCTTTTTCTTTCATTTCTTTCTTTTTTTTCAGCTTTTATTTTTTGTCTTTTGTTTCTTTTCTCCATAATCTATTCTCTTTTTGTCTTTGTTTTTTTGTCATTTGTTTTTGATTCTTTGATTCTTTTTTTTCATTCGTTTTTGCTTCTTTTTCTTTCTTTTGATTTTATCTTTATATCTTTCTTTTGTTTTTTTCCTTTTTCTTTCTTTCTTTCTTTCATATCCGTTTTTAAATTTTATCTTTCGGTCTTGCTTTTACAGTTTCCATTTTCTTCCATTCTTTTTTGAATTCATTTTTTCGTTTTTTCTTGATTTTCTTTTTTCTTTTTCCTTCTGTTTCTTCTTTCCTTTTTATTTTTTTCTTTACTTTTTCTTTCAATCATTCATTCTTTCATTCCGTCTTTCATTTTTATCATTATATCGTTTTTGTCCTTTCTTTCTTTCTTTTCCTTTTCTTTATTCATTTCTTTTTATCTTTTGTTTTCATTTTTTCGTCATCTTTCTTTCTTTTTTCTTTCTTTCTTTCATTCTTTTCCAACTTTCTTTCTTTTTCTTTTTCCATCTATTCTTTACTTTTTCTTTCTTTGTCATTATATCTTTCTTTGTCATTCGTTTTCTTTTTTTCTTTCTTTCTTTTTCTTTCTTTTCTTTCTTTTTTCTTTTCTTTTCTTTTTTACTTCTTTATCATTATCTTTCTTTGTCATTTTTTCATTTTTCTTTCTTTTTTTCTCAGCTGTTTATTTTTGTCTTTCTTTTTTTTTCTCCATAATCTATTCTTTCTTTCATTTTTCCTTCTTTCTTTTTTCTTTCTCATCTGTTTTCTTTCTTGGTAATGTTTCTTTGTCATTCTTTTCATTCTTTCTTTCTTTCTTTGTCAGCTGTTTTTTTTCCTTCCTTCTTTCTTTCTTTCTTTCTTTTTCTTTCATATCCGTTTTTATCTTTTTCTTTTCTTTTCTTTTCTTTTTATCATAATATCTTTCTTTGTCATTCGTTTTCATTCTTTCTTTTTCTTTTCTTTCTTTCTTTTTTCCTTCCGTTTTCTTTTTCTTTCCTTTTTTTTATCATTATATCTTTTCCGTTTTCTTTTCTTCTTCAACCTTTTCTTTCTTTTTCATATCCGTTTTCTCTTTATATCTTTCTTTGTCATTCGTTTTCATTCTTTCTTTCTTTCTTTCTTTTATCTTTCATATCCATTTTTCTTTTTCATTCGTTTTCATTTTCTTTCCTTTTTTTTTTTCATTATATCTTTCTTTGTCATTCGTTTCATTCCGTTTTCTTTTCTTTCTTTCTTTTTTATCATTTTTTTCATTTTTCTTTTTTTCTTTTTCTTTTTCTTTCCTTTCTTTCTTTCCCGTTTTCTTTTACTTCTTTCTTTCTTTTATCCGTTTTTTTTATATCCGTTTTCTTTACTTCTTTCTTTCTTTCTTTTTATCATTATATCTTTCTTTGTCATTCGTTTTCATTTTTCTTTCTTTCTTTCTTTCTTTCTTTCATATCCGTTTTCTTTACTTCTTTCTTTCTTTTTATCATTATATCTTTCTTTGTCATTCGTTTTCATTCTTTCTTTCTTTCTTTCTTTCTTTTTTATTCCGTTTTTTGCTTTTCTTTCTTTTTATCATTATATCTTTCTTTGTCTTTCGTTTTTTCTTTCTTCATTTCTTTCTTTCCTTTTTTTTCTTTTTATCTTTTTCATTTTTTCTTTTTCTTTCTTTTTTTTTTCTTTCTTTCTTTCTTTCATATCTTTCTTTACTTCTTTTCTTTTATTCCTTTTTCATTCGTTTTCATTCTTTCTTTTTCTTTCTTTTCTTTCTTTCTTTTTTCATTTTTTTTTACTTCTTTCTTTCATTATATCTTTCTTTGTCATTTTTCATTCTTTTTTTCATTTTTTCTTTTCATATCTTTTCTTTACTTTTTCTTTTTTCATTATATCTTTCTTTGTCATTCGTTTTCTTTCATTCTTTTTTCTTTCTTTCTTCCGTTTTCTTTTTCTTTCTTTCTTTCATTCGTTTTCATATCCGTTTTCTTTTTTCTTTCCTTCCTTCTTTCTTTCTTTCTTTTTTTCTTCATTATATCTTTCTTTTATCTTTTATATCTTCATTTTCATTTTTCATATCCGTTTTCTTTACTTCTTTCAACCTTTCTTTTTATCATTATATCTTTCTTTGTCATTCGTTTTCATTCTTTCTTTCTTTCTTTCTTTCTTTCCTTCTTTCTTTCTTTCTTTCTTTCATATCCGTTTTCTTTACTTCTTTCAACCTTTCTTTTTATCATTATATCTTTCTTTGTTTTCATTTCTTTCTTTTTCTTTCTTTCCTTCCTTCTTTCTTTCTTTTTTCTTTCTTTCATCCGTTTCTTTACTTCTTTCATATCCGTTTTTTATTTATCTTCTTTCAACCTTTCTTTTTATTTCTTTATTTTTTTTCCTCTTCGTTTATCATTCCGTTTTCTTTTCTTTCTTTCTTTCTTTTTATCTTTTTATTTCTTTTATTCTTTTATTCTTTCTTTCTTTCTTTTTACTTATGCTGGGCCGTTTCTGTTCTATTAATTAGATAGATATCGACGCGTGTTTTTCTTTATGACTGTCTGTGTACACATATTATTTTTGTACGTTATACGTTTCGGATACAAGCTTTGAAGAGTTCCATAATTATTAAGGAAGCCAATAACTCAGGATTTACCGCTGGTATTGAACAGACACTTCCACAATTCATAACATTTTTGAAAGGGAAACAACGATTAAAGTCTGAAATATCGCTTATTTTCTCTCAGCATTTCATTGTTTTTTTCATTAACTGGCAAATCTCTTCCCATATTTAATTCGGCAACCACGTGACTTGAAATCCATCAGAACGAGGCTGAATGAAGCAAAATATTCGAACGGGTATTCATTCATTAGATATTTATTGCTTTATTATTGTTGTTATCATTAATATTATTAATGATATAATTTCTTGGCTTGCGTTTTGGCTTTCTACTCATATATTCCTAAAAAAAAATGGCACGGGAAAGAAATGTTGTAGGTGGAAGTGGTGGAAATGCCGTAACGAACGTGAAATGTTTACTTACACAAAAGATCGTCGTGTGTGGCGAAGTAGTTTGTAATCTGTCGGTTTACTTTTGAAGTAAATAAGTAAGGAAAGAAAGAAGGAAGGAAGAAATAAAGAAAGATGAAAGGAAGGATAGAAAAAGGAAGGAAGGAAATTATAAATGTGATATATATATATATATATATAAAGATGAAATAAGTGAAAAAAGTTTTTTGAAGAATCAGGAAAAGCGAAACAAAATAACGGCATTGGAGGAAGTAGATGGAAATCGATGAAGACTCAAGGAAGAAGAAAAAAGGCGAGAAATGAAGAAGATCGGAGAAAAAGAAAAGAAAGGTTAAAAGAAGAAGAAAGAGAAAAAAATGATCAATGAAAAGTAAGAGAAGAAAAGTAAGAGAAGTAAAAGGAGAAAGAGAAAAACAACGGGCTTGTTCTTGTAACCAAAGACATAAGAAAGCATGGAAGAAAGAATAAAGAAAGAAAAAGAAAGAATGAAATAAGAAAATGTTATTTACACGCAACCTATTGTCCCCGTTGTTATCACAACGTTTCGACCGTTGTGTCCTCCAGACTTCATCAGGCGCTTATCGATCCAAGTAACCAGAGAATTTTTGACTGAAATCATTATTTAACAGGGGTAAATTATTACGGGGGTAAATTGTTCCCGTTCCGCTTAACATGTCCAGAGATATGACACCATGTTAATCCTTATCATATTCTCACCATACTTCATCGTCTCCCCTGAAAATGAGCATCACCCATGCGGATAGAAGTCAAATATAGTTTTCGTTATTGTTTATTACTGTTCAGATTTTGCTCGTCCTGTTTCCACGACGTCAAAGGAAACCCTACCCGTGTTGTCTAGGCCCCTCTTGCTGGAAGGTCTTGGTCACTGCGCCAATTAATGCAATAGCCCCTTGTAGTAGCGCTCGAAACAATTGTGAAACCCTGAACCTTGTACATGATGGAAATCTGTATGCGTTTCAGCACGACACACAACTCACAGCAACATTCACTATCGGGGGTCGCGAAATGTTTTGGGATCAGGAGATGAAAGACATCAACAAAGATAATTTGAACTAATCGAGTTTATTAATGTCCACGTATACGTCTTCTAACTAGCCAGTGGGGTCGCTGTCTCCTTCCACAGGGGAGCAGTTTCCTGAGACGAAAGAAAACACGTCTACATTGTTCGACGGATAAGAATCGACTCTCTGGAAACCCTTTCTCTATCTATCGTTCTCACGCTGGTTCAGCCAATCAAAATCGACTTCCATATTTTGTCTTGTATCTGATCCCTAAGGTCAACCTGAGGAAGTCAGAACAGAGATACACGTCCCCCTAAAAATAATAGTCTAGTAAACTATTTAACAGAAGACTAGAGACAATGATAATGATTGACACTGCATTTAAACTGTTGTGTTTTATAGCCCCTTCTTGCAGGAAGGTCTTGGTCACTGCGCCAATTAATACAGTATTGTATACTCTCTTGGTGAATTTTGTCTTGGACAACGGTGACCTCCAAATAATAAAGTTGAATTCTTCTTTCGATCGTCTTCTTCTGGGTGATTACCATTAGTTGGTTTGGTTTACAAATGAAAGGACTTCAACACAAGGAATGTTAATTAAACATCTTCAAACTAGCGAATGGGATCGCTCTCTCCATCCACTGGGGATCAATTTCCAGACACGAAAGTCAACACGTCTACATTGCTTGACGTGTAAGAACCAACTCACTGAAAAACCTTTTTATATCTCAATCATTCCCACGCTCGTTCAGGCAATCAAAATCAACTTTATCTTCTACCTGATCCCTAAGGCCAACCTTAGGAAGTCCGAACAGAGATACACTTCTCAAAGAAAATAATAGTGTGATAAACTATTATTCAACACCCGGCCCACAGATTGAACTCGAATAGCCTAGTGCACAGTTTTTACACAATTCACCCTAAGCAAATTGATAATGACACTAAGATGTAAAATGGTTACTAGGAGTGAAAGATAAGGAAAAGAATTTGGAAGGAACAGGAAACACAATCCTAAACAGAAAACAAGGGATATTCCTGTTAAAAAAAAACAAAAAAAAAAAAAAAAAACCGGGGTGGAGTGTGAACCGGGCGATAGGCGAACCTATCTACACGTATTATTTAAGATCTAGACTTTATATCTAGGGACGCTGTAGATTAAATAATCAGATAAAATGTCGTAGCCATAGATTTAGCTATTTTTGAGTTATGCGATGGCCGACAGGGAGACACAAACGTCTGTCCGGATCGACAATCACCTGATGAAAGGCACAATGGTCGAAACGTTGTAATAATCAAAACAATAAAGACGAGGATAATACTCTTTGTACAAGTGATGATAAATCACCACCCTAGAAATTCAAACAGAAAGAAAATGAATGTAAAATAAAGAAAGAAAGAAAGCAAAAAAAAAAAAGAATGAACGAAAGAAAAATGAAAAAAAAAAGTATGAAAAAAGAAAAGTCTCATTGTAACCATTTTACACAGGATCACACTTTTGCTGGACTCATATCCTGGAATTGTAGTGGTACAGAGAATATGCCAATATGCAGATAACTAAACCTAATTTACCAAATTAATAGCATTTATTTATTAATAATAACAGATGATCTTTGAGGGGGGTAATAAAAAAAAAATCAGCTATACAGCATCTAATTCGAAAGATTTAAAAATAATATAAATAAACCTCATGGGTAAAATTTATGAAAATTCATTTAAATGAATTTCTTCTATCTCAGTACACACACACACGCATATATATATATATATATATATATATATATATATATATATATATATATATATGGAGGAAGAAAGAGAGTGCACGTGTGAGAGAGAGATGAGCAGGCGAAAGATAAAATAGCTGTGGTTTTAATATATGCATAAATTAAACATTAGTATCCCAATTACACACACGCACATGCAAACAAATCTGTCTGTCCCTCTCTCCTCTATTTCTCTCTCCTCCCTCTCTCTCTCTCTCTCTCTCTCTCTCTCTATATATATATATATATATATATATATATATATATAGAGAGAGAGAGAGAGAATTATTTATGCTTGAAATATAGAGGCGAAATACAATTGTGATGACTTGAAGGACGATTTCACACATAACTAAATCCCAGAAGTATTCAGTGAAAATCGTTACACCCTCTGAACAGACAACAGAATATATATATATATATATATATATATATATATATATATATATATATATATATATATATAGATAGATAGATAGATAGATAGATAGATAGATTTACACATTGGTGTGTAATATTTGCTTGCGATTAATAAGACGAATATCTTTTTTCAAATAAGTGTAATGAGTGGAAGATTTTATTCACAGCCTTTTGAGAGACGGAGCAAAACAACATAGCCAAGTCAACACAGGCGTGGCCATCTTTTTCAGTTCATAATTTGAAAGAGGCCAACAGTGCTGAAAACGATGGATCATAACTTTGCAAACCGAGAAATATTTTTATGTTACATTTAATTAAAAATGAGTAAAATATTTGAAGTTTATTAAGAAAATTGAATTACTAACTTGAAAGGAAAGAAAGAAAGAAAGGAAAAAGATGATATGGCGAAAAACATTTTCGGAATAAAGATAGAAAGAAAAAAGAAAAAAAGAAAGTAAGAAAGGAAAAAGATGATACGAAAAAAAAATTCGAGGGAAAAAAAGAAAGAAATAAGGAAAGAGATAAAAAAGAAAGAAAGGAAAAAAAGCTTCCGAAGGAAAGAAAGAAAAAAGGGAAGAAAAAAAACGATGATATGGTGAAAAACTTTTTCGACAGAAAGAAAGCAAAAAGATGATATGACGTGAAACGCTTTCGAAAGAAAGAAAAAGAAAGAATGAAAGAAAGAAAAGATATGGCGAAAAACGCTTTTGAAGCAAAGAAATAAATGAAATAAAGAAAGAAAAAAACAAGAAAGAAAGAAAAAAGAAAGAAAGAAAAAGATGATATGGCGAAAATCGCTTTCGAAAGAAAGAAAGTAAAATGAAAAAAGAAAGAATGGAAGAAAAAAGAAAGAAAGATAAAAGAAAGATTGACGGAAAGAAAGAATTTTTTTTTATACTGATTCTTTACAATTCCCTCATCAAATAAACAAAACCTTCAAATTCTCAAGACCCCCAATATCAAAAGCAAACAAACAATAACCAACAGAATTCATTACGAGTGTAGCAGTAACGCGCTGGAATGCATATAGGAAACATTTAATTACACTTTGCATATCTACCAATATCTGGTCAACACTCTTACCCAGCAAAGACAATACAGGCGTGGCCATCTTTTTCAATTGATATTCTGCAATAAATATATAGATAGATAGATAGATAATATTAGTGGTAAATCATATATATATATATATATATATATATATATATATAAAACAAAAACAGACCACTTTAAGGTACCATTATAATAATTTAAGAAAAAAAATCTGATGATCCGGCGTCCTTTAAAAGGG